GCCCCTCACACGTCTCTTCTGCATCAACTGCTGGGACAGCTCCTTGCCCCGATAATGAGGGTGTTCCGGCTGCCCTGAGCCACACTTGGGGTGAAAGGGCAATTTGCACTCTTGGGAGTTTGGATCCCTTCTGACCCCTACCAGTATAGCTCGAAGGGCCAGCTCATGCACTTTCTTTTGGCGACAAAACACTTGACAGCTAGGCTTTCCTCTCTAACCTCTTGCACCATGGACCCAAGGACCAGTCTACTTTCTTTTTTTCCAACTGTATATTTTCTACCTTTGTGGACGTTTTTTCGGAATTCCATTATTATAGATGTTTTATTTCTTATAGGTCTTTTTAGATTTTCAGCTTCTCGCCTTTTGTATTTTCATTATAGTTTTGCTTCTCCTCCTCCCTCCTTGTATTCTGAGCAACCTTTTTGTGGGCTGGCATTTTTTTCCACTTCGATGGCTATGCAATTACCCTTTCCCATTTATACAAGACAAACAGTTTCAAAAAACAAGGGGCAGCAGCCCACGTCTCAAAAAGTGGCATCACCTTCATTCACTTTCACGTGGGCCCACCAACCAATCGTACTACACACGCACTGATAAGCATGCACACACTCAACAATTCACGAGGCTTTTATAGTGGTAATGGCTTCTTTGAATTTTTTATGTGGGACAAATAGTCCCATTTCTTCACCACGCACAAAACAAACTATGGGGCAATATCTCTCTCTCTCTGCTAAGAACCTATCTCTCTCGTTGGTGTTTCTCTCTACACTAAAATCAAAAATTTCTAAAGTAATAAAAAATAAATTGAGTAGAGAGATTCATTTATTGCCATGAGTTGCATTTTAAACTTCGTTTTGACTATCAAATGAATTTAATAGACAACGAACACTCAGACATGAGACAGGTCCACAGGATTTACATATTTCTTATGCAATAATGAAGAGCTATTTGCAATTGTTACTATTTTTTATATAAACCTTAAAAACTAGTTTTTCTAGAAATTATAGTGATTTTTTGAAATTTTTTGAGGTTAAAACTTGCCGATCTGACCCATTCTCCGATCCGAATCGTTGATCCATCAATCCAACACGATTTTTGGAGTGATCCGAATCGTTGATCCATCAATCCAACACGATTTTTGGAGTGACCGATCTGGGTCACGGATCCGTCTTTTAAACCTTGGTAATTACTAATACGAATTAGTAAGTTGTAAAGTAGTAAAATAAATCACCATCTCAAAAATAAATTCCGCTCACAACCAGATGAGGTAGTGATTAGGCTCAAGATCCGAATGGCCAACTTTTGTAAGTTTGGAGCACTACACCTATGCTGGCTCCACCAATTGGTTGCAAATTCATTATGAATTATAATTACATATGAAATGTAAAAAACAAACAACAAAAATGGAAACATGAAACTTAAACTTAAAGACTGGGTTGAGTATATTATTACCTAGATAAAGTTTGTTCTTTAGTCTTATTGCCATTCCACTCACAAAAGACTTCAATGCGTACTTTTAACTTATTAGTTCATCAGCGCATATAATGTCTTGGATATCATGTTTAGGGACTAGCACATCCAAACATTTATTAAATCCAGTCACAATTGTGTCATCTATCTGTATACCTCTATAGCATAATAAAAATCTAGGAAAAATAAGAACAAGCTGCATGCAATTGTCGATATAGCTGCCTATCCCACTTCTCATCAATAATCTCCCAAACTGACTCATAGCAGCTCACATCATTATCCAATTTATGGGTTATCTCTCTCTTGCAACGTTCCATTGCCTCATATATGAAGCCCATGAAAAGCTTGTCACTATCAACCATGCGTAGGACTTTGACAAGAGGAAAAAAAATACCTTAAGAGTGCCCTTCACTCGCCAAAATGCCTTAGATAGAACAATATCTCACTTTCTTCCCTTTCTAATCCCTGGCCCACTTACATGCTCTCCAATCATCAGAGATGAACATCTACCTCAACTAGACTCTCTTTAAATGTATGTTATGTAGATAGAGGTACCAGGTAGAAAATCTCGGACCACCAGCCTCACTATCTCCTTTGTAAATATACACATCATGCTGAGGGTGAGGGTGAGGGTGAGAGTGAGGGTGTGGCTATAAATGAAAGTTGTAACTGACCTAGCCTTCCTAACTACACCGGTAATCTCGCTCATACCACTGATAGCCTCAAGCATGAGGTCTATGCAGTGTGCTACGCATGGTATCGAAAAGATATGAAAATAGGCTATGCACAACAAATTAGCGGCAACAACATTGGGAGCAGCATTATCTGTGATAACCTATATAACATGTTGCTTCCCAACCCCCATGATGCCCTTCTCAAACACTTTAAATATGTAATGGCCACCATGGCTATCATTAGAGGTATCAATAGACCTAATTCCCTATAAGAACAATTCACCAACAAATTCATCTGATTTCTTTTGTTCTTATCACTCCAACTATCAATCATAATAGACACCCCAAACTGAGCCCACGCATCCATTTGCAACTCCACAGACTCCCTCACGACATTCATCTCTTTTTTAAAAAGAGGCTCTGAAAGCCCATATTAGTTTGGCGGCTTTAACCCGGGCCCAAATTGGCCAATTGCCTCTACCAAGGTCTAGAAGTTGCTTAGGCGAGCGGCATTAAAGGAATGCTCGCTTCATTAAACCACCGAGCAATATATTGAGCATCT